GGGCGCGCCGCGGCCCCGCCCCGTCGCTGGGTCTGGGGGCTGCAGGGTGTGGGGGTGTGTAGGGGACTGTGGGCACCGCCCATCACGCCCGCATCCCTTGCTCTCCTGGCGTGGCCCTCAGAGTGCGGCGGCCACTCCTAACCCTTAGGTGTTCCCCTTAGCCCCTTCCTACCGTTGGGGCCCTGCAATGTTCCTTGACCCACGCAGTCCGACCGCAGGTCTCCCGTAGGTCAGCTTCTTCACCTCCCGCTTCTGTACTTCAGCTTCTGTCCCTGCTCCTGTCTTGGTCAGATATGACCTCGAAGAGACAGTCAAGTGATAAACTGAAGTTTGAAGCTAGTGCAGCCGGGACAATTTCTGCTCTGTTCTGTTTGCCGTTTGAGTTGAGGACATGTTTGGAGGCACCTTTGGGTCAGCTTTCTGCCTTAAAGTCTCCCTTATTATCAAATTTCCGAAACACGCTAATGGAGTTGGTATTAGTACCGCAGGGTTACGTCGTGCACAAATTGAGTTAACTGTGAAGTTGTCGCTTTTTACTTTGTACATTTGTGATGTTACCTAGTGCTGTGCAGTCCCAAATCTAAAAATAATTATTAAGTCTGGTAGCCTTGCAATTTCATTCGCTTTATGGTTTTTTAAAAAAACTTTAATCTTTTTAGTTCGTAAGAAGCTGCTTGTAATCATGGTGATCTCACTGTTACTTTGACATCAACGACTCTAAACGGGTAATGCCATCTTTCTTTTTCTCCAGATATTTTAAGATAATAAAATTCTCAGACGGAGTCACCGTATGTAAAAGTGTAACGAAAAAAATGAGAATAGACCAAAACTATTGTAGTGATTAAAAACTAGAATGGGAATAAAATTTTAATAAAATGTGGAATGGGAATAAAATTTTTAAAAAGGTATTGCAAAATATAATTATTTCGCTAGTGCAGTGTTGTAGTTCTAGTATAGCATGCAGTCTTTAGGAAGACATATTTGAAGAGCCACACGTTTGTCAGTTAATGCAAAGGAAATCTGAGTGTATCTTTTGTAATCTAGGCAATCTTTCCATCTAGTACACTTGAGCCAAGGGAACTCTGCTTCCAGTGGTATTGGGACTATAATGAGAGTACATAGGCATACATGGAAACGTTTTCTCTGTTTTATTCCATGAAAGACCTTTGACGAAGATCTGTTTCTCTTCTGCACTGATAACTAGCAGCATTAAATGTATACCGTATAAAATTATTTAGGGTCTAGTTAATGAAGCTTCTGCACTACAAAGGTTGCTGTCTAGTTTGGAAGAAATAATCCAGGCATTTGGTAGATGAATCACTTTCATTTGATCTTCAGCTGTTAGATAGCTATAACTCCGGTTTGTGACCATTTCAAATTTGACATTTCTTTCCTCCAGTATTTTACTATGAAAAATTTCAAACAATGCAGACAATTTGAATGTACAGTAACTCCCCAACTACCTACACAGCAATAACATTTTCAAGACAGTTGTTACATAGTAAATATTAAGGAACAGAGGAACTGAAATGATCAAGGTTGAAAACCAGCATAAATATATCTCATACCAAAATACTGTAAGGTGCTTATTTCCGTTTGTAGATGGAAATAGTGTTTAGAAAACCTATAGTAATTTAATTCCATGAGACTATTCTAAAGCAATTTTGTGAGTGAGTGGGAAGTTGTCATCTTTGTAAATCAAGGCCCGGATGAATAAATGGCATTTTGGTAATCAGGAAAAATGGTCTAATGAACTCATTATACAAATAAAAATTTTGTTTTAAAATTGGACTCCTGTGTTAATAGGTTCTAGTTTTGTACTTGATTTTTAAATGATCACCTTTTTTTGAAGACAGGTCCAAGGGATTATTAGTTATGCAATGTTCGATAACATACTTAAGATCTAAATACATTGTTTTGGAATAAGGATGTATATTTGTAATGGAAGGAAAGCTTACAAATGTGAGCTTTTTCAAGTAGAACTATTTCATGGAAAATGAAGTAATTAAAGAGATTTAAGTCAATGTTTTGATAGGACTCAAGACTTTGGTGAGCGTTGTTTCATGCTGTTGCTAAAGGAATATTTTAATATAGAACTTCAGTTTATAATAATAGAATAAGTAATGGTTATACGTTCACATACGTATTTATTTGTAATTTTTCCATAATTAAGAAATTCTCTCACTCCTCTTTAAGTATTTGAATCCTGCTTTTCAGTTTTAGTTTACCCTAAATCTGTTTTTCATCCTTACCTCATTTTTATAATTCTTAGATTTTGCAGTTAAGAGCTGTCTCAGAATTTATAGACCTTTGGATTACCTCATTATTTTTCCATATCTCATTTGACTTTGGCATGCTTATAGATGGTTAATTTACCACATCACTGAGAGATTAAAGGGAACAAGCTATCATAGTTTTGGAACTTGGGAGACTGAAATGTATAGATATTTTTTAATCAAAGCTGTAGGTTCCCTCCCCCCTTTCCTTTCCTTCCTTTCCTATTTTCATTTTTATTATAAAAGTTAAATGCTTTAAAATAAATTCAGTGAAACTGTAGAGGAGTTAACAATAATTCCATGATAGTTAATGCTTTAGAAAATAACCAAAATTTTTGTTTATTCTGTAACACTATCAATAATTACACTTTAATAGTTTTCATTGCGGTATCTCTTCACTTGCATCTAAACTTGCAGGAGTTCCTGAACTTGAGACTTAGTTACCCTAAATTAGAAGAGGGTTCTTAGAGCTGGAAGAAATATGGAAAAGAGTAGAGTACATATTGGAACAAAAGAATCAGACTCAAGCTATTATCTGCTTTTTCTTATAAGTATAAATATAATACTAGTTACCCATATGAAACTACTTTCTGGTTGACAAAATATGGGCCTCTCAAGTTCTTTTTATTTTTTTAATTCAAAAGAGGTAAGATGAAGTTTACTCAGTGCCCTTCTACAAAAATTTTTAGATTTCATTTATTGAATATTACATATTTAGCTTTAAAAATTTATGGTCATACATGATTTAGAATTATTTCTTAAACATTTATATATGCTTATGAAACTATGACTAATTTTTTAATTATACGTCATCAGCACTTACTATAAGCTTGATATTGTCTCCTTCTTTAGAAGGTTTTAATTAAAAGACTGACAATTTTAATGTAGTTATTTCTTGCCAGGTCACAGGGTGTAATGAAAGAAGATTATTATTATTTATTTATTTTTTTGAGCCAGGTAATCTGGATTTCAGTCGAAAGAAATCAGAATTTTCTTCTGTGTGATTTTGGGCAAGTTACTCGATTTCTTTAAACCATAGTTTCCTCATCTGTAAAATGAGGATGATAAAATTGCCTCAGAAGGTTGTTATGAAGAAGAAACGAGACAATCTAGGTAAAATGCCCGAATCTAGGAAGTGTTCAACTTCCAGATCCAGTTTCTCACATCGTAGCTTTAATTTTGTCTCTCCTGCTATCACTGTGTTTATTCTACCATCCTAAAAGTCCTTAAATTTTAGATTTAGGAAATTAAAATAATGTATATTAAGCTTACTTAAATTGATATTTACATTTGTACAGACAGAGCAAATCATTAGTTCCTTTATAGTTCTTCGATTACTGTATCTCAGTTATGATAATCAGAAATTTAAATGCTTTTCACCTCAAAATATGTCTAGTTTGTCTGAATTCCTGAATTATTTTTCTTTCACCTTAGATTATCATCTTTTGTTGGATGGTTTCCCAAAATTCCTTTCACTTAAACCACAAATATTTCCTTAAAAGTGGTACAGAAGAGCTGAGTATTACTTTCTTAAATCTCTAACTCGTGTTTCTCCCCATCTTAAACCACATTTACTTAATCTTCAAAACTTAAACTATTTTCAAATGTAATAATTCATAAAACTCTTACTTGAATTCTTTCTGCCTGCTACAGATATATATGATTATTTTTTAAGGAGCAATATTTTGTAAATAACCCTTTTTCAGACTGTGTGTTCTATAAGTATAGGGTTTTAATTCTTAAAGAACACTATTTACTTATATTTCACATGTAAGTTTAATCACTGATTCTCTACATGATTTAACAAATATTCTTTAAAAATTTTTTGAAATGACAGTTTGACATTCAATATTAACATTAGTTTCAGGTATATAGCATAATTGTTAGAAATTTATATAACTTATAAAGTTATCTTCCCAATAAGTCTAGTACCCACCTGACACCATACACAGTTATTACAGTATTATCGAATGTATTCCCAGTGACTATTCAGTAACTGCCAATTTGTACTTCTTATTCCTTCTCTTTTTCACCTATTCCCCCAAACTTCTCCAATCTGGCAATCATCAGTTTGTTCTCTGTATCTATCAGTTTGTTCTCTGTATCTACGCATTTGTTTCTGTTTTGTTTGAAGAACACACATGATTTAAATGCACAGACCAGTCTATATAGTTATTGGGTGTTGTGAAGCAAGCATTGAACTGAGTGAAGAGATAGGAGTAGAACCAGATAGTCCTTATTCATTTATCTAGCAGTAAAACAAAGATTTTGTTATCTAAGTCAGTGATTCTCAATATTGTTTCCCATCTCATACAAGAAGATATTTACATGTGTGACATATACTAATGTACAGTGTCCTAGCATGCTCTCTGTAAT